AACATGTTTTACAGTTTTAAGTAGGAAAAAACCCTTATCTTTCAGGAAGAAGAAAGAGCAAACACTACAGACCTCAACTTAAAGCCAGCAAACACTCCTTTTTTTTAATCTAGAAATTCCCCTCCTACGCCCCTCCCTGACCACACACCTGCACAACAGAAGAGAAACAAACATGATCCCATACAATAGCTTGTAGTTAAACCCGAAGTAATGGGAACCCTTTTACTGTCCAAATCCTAGATAGTTTACAATTCAGCAAGCTGAAATGAAATGTGCTTAACAAAAAAAACAGCAAGTTGTGTAAAACAGAGCCATTACTGGATCATACTAAGCATTAAAATGAACACACAGTTTTTCCTTGTAGTCTATCTGCAGGCTGCCAACAAAATAGCAACTCATTCCCTGTTTCTGCTTTCCCACACCCTCAGCCTACTGGTGGCTATAAAGCTGTCAGTGCTACAAGATAAATTGGATCAGCCTGCTGATCTATCCCTCTATCTATATCTATCTATCTATATCTATTTATCCGGAACTATCCCACAGAAAAAGCTAGCTTGCTGATCTGAGTCACCACGTAGCCACATGCTCACTAAAGGCAGATTAGAATGGCAGAAATGTTTAGAAAGGTGTAGGGGTAGGAGGGGATTTAGATTATCCCTTTGAGCATCAAATCAAGAGCCACTGAGGCATAGAAATGCTTTTTGATACAGACTCCTTGCAACAAACGGTACGCAACTTCAGAGAACTGCATTCAGCTGATTTGTGTTTTATTTATGAAAACATCTCCAGTGGACAGCAGTAACTCTGGGCCAGACAAACCAACCACAGCAGAGAGCTTTTAGTACAGGATCAACCCCTCGATGTTAAGTATAGGATCTTTTAAAACACAAAGCTTCAGAACATTTTTTTACTGAGGTTATTCAGTTTGTTTTTCTGACTTTTATTTCGCAAATTTGTAAGATTAAAATAGTTCAGCCCTATTCATTTCATAAGGCACAAGTTTAAATGACGCCATTTGCTAATGGCTTCCTACAGACCCCAGGTTGCTCCTTATTGCTCCCTTTGTGCCAAAGATCCCTGCCACCCACCAACATTTTCCAGCTTCTTCTCCCCAAAACCTTCCAAAACAGGTAACTGCCAGTAACAGAATTGTGTTAATGACTAAACAGAAACTACATTAACGAATCATAAAGCAGATACCATGACAATATCTTTTTCTTAATTTTCAGTGGATGACAGGCCATTTTTCATTTAACTCAGCTGCAAGTGTTTCCAGAGTACAAAACAGCATTACCACTGAAGCAGAAACCTTACTCAAAGCACCAATTCACACAAGTTTAAACACACAGTCCCAGGTCCTATTACCCCCAGCTGGGGTAACAAAAAAAAGCTGTAAGCTTTCGCTGGACTACACAATTGTCAGCGAGACAGTGTCACTGCCCTCATGCTGCAAATGCCTTGGAGAGCTTGAATAAGGCTCCTATAAGGAACATCAGAAACTGAAGAAAGGAATTATAAAAAACCTTTGAAAGAGAATGTTAAAGTAACACGTCTACACTCAACACCATATTTGACAGCATTTCAGAAGAGCAATTTTTTTTATGTTTCCAACAGATAGAAAACAGAAAAACTAACTTGGTAAATTTCACCTGTCTTCTCTATATAAAACACAACACACAACACTTGGTTTGTAGACTCTCAAAAAAACCCTTGTACCTCACTCACCACTGCACAATCTACATAAAACAATCTGCTTGGAAATGCTGTTATGAAACATAAGTATTATCTCTCAAAAATGCTTAAAAGGAAGTGCGGAGTATCTTAATTTTGAAATCTCATTCGTATTTCAGAAGGTTAACAGGTACAACC